TGACCATTTAAGGGAAATCATGTCACTTACTGTTCTCAAACTTACAGGAAAGAAACATGGGTCTAACATACAGCTTCAATAGGCAACGTAGTTTGTTTGGTAAATTTTTCTGGCAATTTAACAGTTTTTTGTGAAAATTTAATTTTTCACTTATTTGCATCTTTATTTTCTGTTCTTTGTCTGTACATTTGACAGCTTTGCTGCCTTGTTAAGTCATAGTTTCTTAAAGTAAAACATTCCTATTGAGTGGCATTAACAATATTAAAGAGCAGTCTGTTATGGTTCTGTTTTATGCCTATGCAGTTAAAGTAGTCAGCACGTACCCAGTAATCAATATATTCAATATTGAATATATCCTTTTGTATAAAAGATTCCCTGTAATTTGACACCTAAATCATTGTTTACCATGAACAAATCTTTTGGAATATTTTTTTTCTTTAATATTAGATAAAAGTTATAATTTGTGACTCGTATATTATATCTGACTTAAATCTTTGTACAACTTGAAAAAATGATCTTTTCTCAAAATATTTGAGCTATGCCAAGCCTTCTGTTACATGTATTTAATAGAAGAAATGGTCATGAAGACCTTCGTTAGAGCAAAAACTGAGGGGAAGATACTGTACTATTTTTTGTGACAGAACTGATCTTCCTATTCCAGCTAACATTGCACACTGAATTTCTATTTATTAGGAGAGAGCAAACTTATCTTTAATGCCTTGCTTACAGTTACAACAACGATGACACCACAGCAGAAAGGAAAGAACAGAAAGCAAATCGTATTCGGAGCAGATATGTCGGGAACGAAACTGGATCAACGTGCAATGTCCATCAGAGAAGTCAGCCAGTCACCATAGCTCAACTGACCAATGCAGCTAAGAGAGAGAAAGAAAGAGACTTGAAGGAGCAAGAAAAGTTATCAAATGATGTTGCCAAGAGAGGGAAAAGAAAGCAAATTGGGGAAGCTGCTCCTAGTGTGGATAAAAATGGCTTGCAGGCAGTTAGACAGTCCGTAAGAAAGAGCAAAGATGGTGGCGCCTTGGAAGATCCTGTGCAGATGTCTGCAAGAAAGAGAAAGATACTTGTGCCAGTAAAAGCAGCAGAAAGAAAGAAGGCTGTGAATCAACCAAAGGATGAAAGAAGGTATTTTAAGTGTACTTGCACCAAATTTAGTTCAAGATCTTTTTATTAGCTAATAACAGTCGAACATAAAAGAGAGAAATGTTAATAAATTTATTTATAGCTATTCTTTATTATGAATAGTTTTAATATTTCAACTAAAATTATGCAGTCAAATAACACATAGAATTTCATTGATAAAGTTGATATCTCTTCAGTAATAGAGGGTGTTATTACATTTCTTCATTGTTAAAAATTGCTGATGCCATGTTGAGGTTATTAAGAGAAAATATATGTCATGAGACCTGATAATTTGGTCATTTTCCAGAGGAGATTGTGGTAGAGATGAGGTATCAGCACAATCCAAGATGTCTGCCAAAGCCCACTCATCATCTCAGCCAGCCAGTAGAGAGTCCAGATCAGAGAGACACAGGAGGGTGAGAAATATTTTTTTTTTCATTTTCTTTGTGTTAATCAAAATAATTTACAATACTAGTCTGTACAATTTGGACATCTAGTTAGAAGTTCTTTTTTTTTGGAACCTGTTTGCAAAAATAACTAAGTAAATAGATAATAAATAAAATAAATACAATTATAATTATATATTTAAAAAATGAAAAAAATATCTGTTACTTCCTATGCATCACATTATCTGAGTACTTCAGTGGATAAGAATTAATAGAAATGAAAAAAATGAAAAGACCTAGATTTTTGACTTTCATTGCTAACATATTCCTTCGTGCGTTTTTCAAAACAAAGTATTTTGTTTGAAAAGCAGTGAAGTTTAGGTGGTTTCCAAGTAGTTCTCACTTCCAGTCTCTTTCAGGATAAATATGTCATAAAATGCAACATCTTTATACCTGTCCAATTCTCATTATGATCACCTGTAAAAAAAGTTATTTTAATGATGTACATTTTTCCATTTCACTTATTTACCTAGAAACTGGAGGAGATTGTCACGGCCACTCTGGTAGCCAATGGTATTACAGCTGACCACTCTCTTTATACGTCCTGCAAGACACGGCTTTATAAACTGACCAAGATGTACGTTATGGTGAGTACTGACCACTGACTGCTACCTCTACTGACCGTCTGTGGGAGACTTTGTCAACTAAGTGCTTGTTGAAGTTGACATAAACCACTGCATTTCAGAGTTTGAATTAATTTGTGAATATGAACCATGTTTACCCATATTTTCTCCAAATTTCACTTCTTAGTGCCTCTTTGCCATAGCTTTATAAGCAATTTTAAAAATATGTCAGCGAGTTTCATATAGAACAAGGCTGTATCTTGTGAGCTGTCCATCTCTAATGCAGCATAATTTCTTATTCTAATAAAAAATTCAGCTGATTTATTGAACCCCAATAGAAAATAAGTTGATGGTTGGATTTTTATGTCACATTATTATCGTTTACAATACTGCCAGTTTTTTATTAATTAATCAAAAGAGATGTTCTTGTTGGTATTACAAAGATGTTTATATTTTCTGTCACTCTTATCAACATTATGCTTTATAGTTTAAAGTTGTATTATTTTACAGTTTGTAATGTTATCATTCTTTTGCTTTTTTCCAGGATTTAACCACTTCAAGAAATCTGAAGGAAGAAATGAAGAAAATTGCAGAAGATCACGTGAAACAGGTGATTTTTTTTTTCATTTTTTTTAAATTACATATGGAGGGAATTCTATGTGCATCAGAAAATATTTGCAATTAGCTCCTTTAAGAAAGAATTCCTATGATAATAAAAAATTTTTCATTGAGTCAGCTTGTATTTTTATTTGACTGATTCTTGTCAAAATTTATGGAATGTGAGACGTGCACTTGGCCCGTTTTCTAAAATTCTAAATCACCTTTTGTGAATTAAATTTTTCTTTTCTGCCTTGCAGGTCATCAGTTTTGAAACAAAAAGAATAGACCCTTCAGCTTCATGATAACAGCTAGCCAATCCTGAATCATGACACAGTGTGTGGTACAAGAAGCTCAAGAATGATTATTTAGATTATTTAATAAGTAATAAGTGTGTAATAATAAACTGTGCAGTGACTCCAGTTACTGAGTCTGACTGAATTTGTACAACTGTGACGTAACCAAGGCAGAGCTCACTGGGTGTGTAATCTTGACTTGTTGCGTTTTTTTTTTTTTTTTTTTTTTTTTTTTTTTTTTTTTTTTTTTTTTGTGGGGGGGGGGCAAAAAAGTTAAGTAGAAGTTTGAAAGAAATAAAAAGCATAAATGGCTTTAATTGTTGGCGTTGGTATTTTGGATTTTTAAAATAAAACTTGATGTTTATCGTTTCAAATAAAGTTGTAAATTACATTGGAAATGTGCATATCACGATGATCCACGCTTTTTATAACAGTCATCTGTGATAACCATTTTAACTCTGTTGTGCAAGTTGGTTAATTACCGTACATCCATGACTTGGTTATTTTATTATCATTGAAATCATAGGTTACAATAAAACGTGACAGGATCGGCCTTAATTCAGGACGCATCTTGAGTTAAATATTTGGCAAACAAATATACATTATTGTACTCGAATAATTCGAAAAAAATGTTTATTCGCATGCACACTTTCTATTTTAGACCGTGCAACACGTACAATAACCTTGAAAACTAATGCTTTTATCGACTACGCTTTTATGTTTTCTTTTAAATTTAGTCATTCAAGCCGTTAATTTGGAGCTCTAAGCGATATATGTAATAGTTAACCTATAATTTAAGGAAAATAAATTCACCACTTACAAATATTTGGAATACAGATGTTAGCGAGATGTACACACACTGGATAATAGAAGTGTCACCCCTACTGAACCAATACTTCGGGGGAGATAAATGACTGTGGAATGATATGCTCCTGGATTTTATTAACATCAATTTTCACAAAAGAATCGGTTCTGACTGAACAATTCAACTGTATCGATATTCTGACATTGCTTACATTCCGCCTGTTCAGGTTAATAACTTTGATTACTCTGATTCAGCGGGTGACACTTCTATTGTCCAGTGTGTGTATATTAAAAAGGTTGAATAAACCCATCCATTCCAGTCCCGTAGACAGCAATTTTAAAAGGGGGTTCTTTTTCTGAAAAAGCGGACTTTTTACCATGAAACCTTTGTGTACTCAGGTAAAATTTTACCAAGAGGGGACCTTTTCCCGACAAAAGAGGTGTTCTTTCAAACCCCCGAACCTCCCCTCTGGCTACGGACCTGCATTTACAGGCTCATGTAGCCAGTAAATTTCTTTTCAAATCGGTGTGTTGTGATTGCCTAAAGAATTCCGAGTAAGGAGTCGAGCTGAAATATTTTGGATGCGTTGGGGTTGCTCTGTTCTTACTAAGCTGCGACCACAGAGCAAGAGGCTACAACATTCAAGCCTTGAAGTTACTAGGGCATGGATGACCGTAGCAGTGGTTGAGTTAGTTGGATTGGTGCGCAGACTGCTAATGTTTCTGATATGATATATGCACGTTTTTTACATTGGCTATTCCTTTATCCGTGGTTAAGGTACAAATGCAGTATCAAAGCAAACCTTCTATAATTAATTCAAGAGGTTGAATTCGGTTATTACATGTATTACTATAGCACAATAAATTCGAGTACTTAGAATAATAAAAAGAAATTCAACCAAAAATAGACTAGACTCTAACTCTAAAGTGATGATGGCTAGAGTACACTAAGATAAACCGCTCATATTTAGTTGATCACCCAATGATTAAGCTGAGTTTGTCTTAGAATATATTAACAAAACAAGAAGAAGAGCAAATAAGTTACATGCATAAAAAATCAAGAGGAAATACTTCCTAAAAGTGAAAGTTATTAATGTAACCTTCACAAAAACACGATTTTGACCTTGATGACGTAAACATGCATTAGGAACATGCATAAGGAACAAGCGTTATATAGGATAATGATATAAAATAAATAAAATAAATAACTGTTGAAATAAGCTTTATATTGATATGCAACATGTTGGTATATTTTGACAGGGTAAGAAGATGGTGTCGCACCTGACACCTCCTTGCCTCAACCTTAAACTTGCTGACACTGCGTTTATTGCATTTCTGAAAACGGATATAGTTATCTTGTTCGTGGCTGGTACCACCATGACACTATATGGTTCCATGGTACCACTGAATAGTGAATATCGCTGCCGTAGTCGTGTCCTGCTGGAGAAACATTTACATGTACGTGGATGCGAAAAAATTGTTTATCTTATCGGGAGAGAACCACCCCGAGCTTCAGAGATAACTTGAAACAAACCTCTACACAGAAGCAACCCTTGCCGTTTCAAGTGCGGAAGTTTGTTTCAAGTTAAAACTCAGGGTAGAGAGAACATATGGCAATAGTAATGTGGGCGGAAATTCAGTTGAATCCAAAACACAGCGCGTCCAATTTCATATTATACCCCTGCTATCACATGATAAAAGAGGATAGGAAATGGAAGTTACTTTAAAAGCATTTGTAGCACTAAACTGAGAATCATTTTCGCTCCCAACAAAACAGTTTTGGACAGTTTGTGAGGAAATCGACTGAGGTACGTCTTATTTATGTATTTTTGGCTTGAATATTTCATTTGGAATTACTGATCAAACCAGTTCTTGAGTTACGTAAAATTTGCACCGACAGGAAGAACAACTCGCTCTTCGTCATATATCCTTCATAGAACCGTGAGTTTCTGTTGATTTTCTCTCTCCCTTTTGATTTTTTGGCAAACGTAGCTCTGTTGTGTTGCATTTTAATTCTACTAAAACATTATTTGAAAATATTACTTCTGATATATTATCTGGAAATTAAAACAAATGTGGAAAACGTAAGACGTTCACTTAGGCATGTTTGTTTCACTTTCAGTATAACAATGACTAGATTCAGTCTTCACACGGAATACTTACTCATACGCACATGTATTTTGGTTTCCCTTTGGGCGGCCATGTTGGCCACGACAGCAATTACAACCCACAAGTGTATCATCCACGTGCACCACGAACAAAGAAACGATACACTTGTGAACTGCAGGCAACGACATCTACGAGCGATTCCAGCTGATCTCCCGATAACAACAACTACTGCTGATTTCTCACATAATGATTTCAGGCTCATACACGATAAACAGTTTCAGTACCTGTCGAAACTGAGAAGCTTGTCTCTTAAATCGTGCAATATATCATACCTGAATAAGGACGCGTTTTACGGCCTTGACCTTCTGGAAGTTTTGGATTTGAGTGGCAACCGTCTACGACATCCATCTGAACAAATATTTAAGCCGCTTAAGTCTCTCAGGAGTATCAATCTGTCTTTTAATAAGGATATTTTTGGATTGTCACTTACATCATCTCTTTTTAAAGATTTGCACCGATTGCGTACCATTCTTCTGAAGGGAATTGGATTGCAAAATATTTCAGATGGTGTTTTCGGCACAAGTATGGAAGTGATTCGCCTATCATACAACAAATTTCAGTATATTCCAGAAGCAATATTCACCAACCCTAAAATAAGGATTATCCTTCTAGATCATAACCAAATACACGATTGTCGCATTAAAATTTCAACCAGCTTCTTTCGTGAAAGACTTTTCCTGAGTTTGTCTTTCAATCGAATTTCGAAGTTATGTAGAGCAGATTTACAACAATTGTCAGTGTTTGGCCACCTCAGTCTGGATTTGGGACGGAACAAGATAACACAGATATGTGACGACACTTTTACAGACATAAGGAGCATCGGGGATATATCAATTTCCTTTAATCCTCTTTGCAAAACTACACTGCGGCACTCTACTCATCCAGTCAGGCCAGTTAGCTGCAAAGCATTTCAGAATTTTACCTACAGTTTAAGGAAGAGTAGAATTTCTACCTTGAATGCCCGACTTATAGGCTTGTTCTTTGATCATCTTGATCCGATTACATTCTTTCCCCTTCAAAATGCATCTCTAAGAAAACTAGATATAGGACGGAATCATTTAGGGGGTATGCAACCATTGACCTTTCAATTCCTGACCAATCTTACCGATTTAAAATTAGATAATTGTGGACTCAGTCACTTTTCGCTAGTAGCTGCTTTAAAATCCCACAGAAACACGATTAAAAAGATAGATTTTAGCTACAACAATCTGGATACAAACATTCTTGTTGGTACATTAAACGCATGTCCACACTTAACTGAACTCCGTTTTATGAACAAGTTGGCTTCCTTTCAGTTGCGTAAGTATATGTATTATTACGTAGAAGATCACTCAAGTATAAGGAGCTTGAAGTTTAGGCCTAATAAACTAAATGGAATGGAATTATTTGTCTTAAAAAACCTGTCGTCTTTGGAAGAGCTTACCGTCAATGAACTCAATGGACACCCGTATTCCTTCAATTTGAAAAAGTTAAAGCTTCAGGATTTACCACAATTACAGATCTTAGACATTTCTAGTAACAATGCATACTTACATTGTGATATACAGAGCGCAGATTACTTCAAAGGAATGCCAAATCTTCGAGCGTTACACATGCATCGTAACAGGCTGTGGCTTACCAATGCCCCAACACTCCTCGTTATGTTTCAATCCCTTCACAATGTGACATTTTTAGAATTAAGTAGTAACGTGTTATCGGAACTTCCAGTGGGAATGTTTGACTCTATGGTGCGTCTCAGAACTCTACGTCTTTCAAGAAACATACTGCGGACTATTCCTAAGGGACTATTCAAAAACTTGAATCAACTCCACACCTTAGTACTCTCCTTTAATTACATATCCAACATCCAAGATGGCGCCTTCGATGGCTTAATATCGTTACGTGTACTTAAAATGGGCAATAATAAGTTAATCTGTGACTGCAATATACGGTGGTTACAGCAATATTTTCAGAGATTTGACAAGGAGGACTCAAAAGAGTTTTGCTTTGGTACTACTTCATCAAAGAGAATTCCAATCACTGAATTCAAACCTGACTGGTGGCAGTGTGATAACAACACGACGAAGGTGGCGGTCAGTATCCTTGGAGTGGTACTATTCATGTGTTTTATAGCTGGTATTGTTTACTATGCAAGATGGGACATTAGATTCGCTTTGGTCGTCAGGTTCGGGTGGCAATGTTGTACTAAGAAACCACAAGATGCTGACGTTAACCTTGAGAAGATATTTGACGCGTTTGTATCTTATAGTTTACTGGATACGGCCTGGATTGTTGCCGAGCTGATCCCAAATCTGGAAAATGACGAGCAGTTCAATTTTCGTCTTTGTATCCATGAGCGCAATTTCCTTCCCGGCAACTCTATTGTAGAAAGTGTTGAAGGAGCCATGGATGGCAGTTACAGTGTCATTTTCTGGATTACTCAAAACTTTCTGGAAAGCGATGATTGTGATTTTGAACTGAATTTGGCCAAGACCAAGCTCTCTGAAGGAAACATTCGCTCGGTTATTTTCATATTTGAAGAACGTTTTGATAAAACCCAACTACCGCAGCCAATGGGGATTATGATACGACATTGCCAATGTCTTTATTGGCCAGATCTGCGGCTGCGCAAAAGGGACATTTTCTGGAAAAGACTGAAGCTGGCCTTGTTGGATACCAGGCCAAAAGATAATTGATTGGTTGTTTTATGTGTCTGAACATGGTGCCTTTGTTTTATTTCCCTTCGTTCTTTTTTTATTTGAAAACTGTTGTTATGCCAAACTGCTGATGACTGCTACCGTGAATAAGGTGATGAGCGTTATATATTAGTAAAGGCAATCGATTAACTTTCGTTGCTGACCCACTTAGTAAAGTGCTCGTTACTTTTATACAATATATAACACTCGCCAATGATAATAAACTAATAATGTATGTGAGAAACTCATTGTAGATGAGGACATCTTTTGAGCATTTTTAACTTACACCTCTTGGTCTCATAGTGGAGCCTAGTAGTGACACTCATAACGATCCCCGAGTACATTACACTGTATATACTTCAAAAAAGATTCAATAACCTAGGGATATCTTCTTAGGGAGGTTTATCAAAATTAGCGAATAAATGAAAACAGCATTTAAATGTCTTTGAGCTTGTATATCATCTGCAAAGGTTGTACATGTAATGCAAATTCTATATATACTGAGTACTGATGAAGTTGACGTTCTCAAGTTTCCTGGATTTAATGTACGCACTTATATAATAGTGTATTATTCTGCCCACATAATGTTTATATCATTTATCAACATTATTCAATGTTTATTATTAATATGCTTTATTTATTTTTATTAATGAGACTTCCAATAAATGCGACCATCATCGGACAAATTTCGAACATCACACTTGAGTTTGTTCCAATCTTTTAAATGACATATCCTATTTCTTACATCAGCTTAGATCAAGGAGACATAAATAGTGTATTATTCTGCCAAAGGGTGTTCATAGAGAAGTTACAAAAAAGGGATGATCTTTATCACTGTGATAATTTGACCATCAAGCTTAATAACCAGAAAAAGGGGGGGGTCTAAACAACTTCCGGTCGCCATGGACACGGCCGGCTCACTAAAACTTTGTCTATAATTAAATGTGTATATTCAGTGGCGGATTTAAAGGGGGGTCAGGGGGATCCTGATCACCCCCCCCCCCAATTTCGATTTCTGGTCCCCTTTTGAAATTAGAATTTTGACTAGCTGAATCATAGTTCAAAACCGTACCAATGGCACCATGCGATCTCTATAATACCAAAAATTTTCAGGGCCCTTAAGCGGGCCCCGAAACCCACGCAAAGTTGGGGGGGGGGGTCGGCTTAGCATCCGCGGACCCCCCTTCAAATAATCCTGGATCCGCCCCTGTGTATTCTTTTTTTGTTACATTGCCGTCCACGTTGTCGTCCATTCAGTTGGTTGAAATAAATAGAACCTACATGTAGATTAAGAAGTCGGCCAAATTTGAATTTCTTTGCAATAAGATGAAAAGATTTAAGAGAGTCCGACAATTCTTAGGTTTGTGTCATTTTTATATGCATTTATTTGCATGTCCACGAGAGAGTCAGGATAAAGTAGTAAAGTGGGGTGAACACATCTTATTGAAATAAAGTGTGTTTAAGGTCCCTATGAAAGATATAAGAAGCTGCATGCAATATTTCGTAAATCAGATCCACGTTTGTGGAGATATAGAAGTGATAATTTAGTGCCATAGTAACAGAAATACGGCATATACCGAACCTTCCAAACCGCGGGGTTTGTTTGTAATAATTGCTTTTACTCTTAGACTTCCTGTTTTGAATATAGGACATACGAAACCGGATGCCCTAGTTAATATCATCATTACTTGAGCCAGCTGAGGAAGCGGACCTTAATTCTCCCGAAACAGCCATGAAATGTCTGGGTCACATTTTCACTTTGTGATGTTACTTTATTAAGATAATCATTTAAACATCAGTTTTGTATTCCGCAAAATCCTGATTTATAGCTGAAGTTGGATTTGAACTCATAGTACTAACCCTGTGTCGACACATCCTTGCTGCAGTGAAATCTAACCCACGGGCAGTTGCTCTTGCCCCCGGGGAGGGGGGGGGGTTAGAGTAAAAAACTGTTTACTGTTTGAGGCTTTATTACCAGTAGATAGTTCTTTTTATTTTTTGCTATTCAATTGATTTGATGATGTTAAAAACATAAAAATGGAACGAGTGGAAAGAAAAATTATTTTTCTTTATGTTCTTTTAAGTCAATGTCAGCAGTAGCTGTCGTTAGCATTGCTAATAGTAATAGGAATCACCCCATTCTCTAGTAACCATGCATTAAAAATGGGAGGGGGGGAGAGCCAAAAAAAAAAAAAAAAGGCCAAATTGTGACACGGAGGATAAAAGTACCAACTTTTGCATATGGTTAGCTTTGACATCATACTCAATAGAATTTAAAGCGTGGCCCTCTGAAAAAACTTGACCGTCAAAACTCCAAAATGGCCGTTTATGTGGTATGGAATGCTAGAGAAGTATGTATAGATAACTGATTTTAATGTTTTCCACATGTATACGTTATTGGTAAAGGTACCTTTTGTAGTGATTCCAACAGAAAAAATATACTTCTTGTAATGATTCCGACAGAAAAAAATACTGCTTGTAATGATTCCAACAGAAGAAAAAGATACTTCTTGTAATGATTCCAACAGAAGAAAAAGATACTTCTTGTAATGATTCCAACAGAAGAAAAAGATACTTCTTGTAATGATTCCAACAGAAGAAAAAGATACTACTTGTAATGATTCCAACAGAAGAAAAATATACTTCTTGTTATGATTCCAACAGATAAAAAATAATTCTTGTAATGATTCCAACAGAAGAAAAAGACACTTCTTGTAATGATCCCAACAGAAAAAAGATACTTCTTCTAATGATCCCAACAGAAAAAAGATACTTCTTGTAATGATTCCAACAGAACCCAAGTACAAAACGTTGCAATGCATGGACAAAAAAGAGCGCTCAGAAGCTCTTGGGGGGCACTTATTCAGCTTGGTGCAGGTACAACCAGTGGCGGATCTAGAGGGGGGACGGAGTCAGGTGTTTCCTGACCACCCCCCCCTTCAGTCTCTGAAAAAATTACACTAATTTTCCCCACTTATTTATGGAATTATAATTTGGACCAGCTGATTCATAGAACTTTCAAAACCGCACCAAATGGCTTCGTTCGCCCTTTAAAATGCCAAACAATTTTGGGGTCCTTCAGCGGTCCCGAAACCCCACGCCAACGAGGGGGAGGCGACAGGGCGGCTTCACATCTGCAACCCCCCCTTCAAATATTCCTGGATCCACCCCTGTACAAATGCTGTATAATAATGCACTGATTTGCATTCATGGTCATTGAAAAGTACTTGAATAAGCATGTCAAAAGCATTATGAAGTCCTTGAGTTTGTTTAAATGAATGCTCTCAAAACAAAATTGATGTCAATTAATTGTCATGTGTGTGCTTTGCCGTAGATTTTACATGTTTTATGTGCATTGATTTTTAGCAGAACATTTAACAGTAAATCCTCAATGTGACGGTTGAGAAATGAGATCACAATTAATTTGGTGTGCTCCATGTTGTAGAATATGGATGCTTTGGGATATGGACTTGGACATTCCCTTTGCACGAGTTTTTTTTCTTATATTTTCTTCGACAACAACTGGAACTGAGGTTAAGACATTTTAAGGGTTTCTATTTTGACCAAATGTCGCTGGAATTTTGAAAATATACCCCTGAAGACAAACCCAGGGTTAGTAAAATTCTGCGACTGGACAAGTTCATTTTGTTTTTATTTAGGATATAGTAGTAAACGTAAAGAAATACTAGAGAGGTTTGGTACCTTGTTTTCGGTAAAAAGAATGATTGCACAGGTATTTTCTGCTTACTTTCTGTGGTTTTGGGACTGGAGATGGAAGAAGCAGATAACATTTATGGAGAGCAGCCAGTGTCTTCATTCATTCCCAGTTCGGTTGATTAATTCTTTTCATTAAAATAAAACGTAAAACAAACCTATGAGAAACTATGGGTTCTTAGGGGCTCATTTATACAGTGTATATACGGTCAGACCGCAAACATTTCTGGAAAGATAGGGTTGGTCCTGAAAAGGACCGTTTCTGAATATCAATAATGACTTGTTGATTTACTTGGAGCTGGTGTACTTCAGGCCTTAATAACGGATTATGGGTTAACTAACACTACCAACAGAATTAACTAACACACCTTATAATTATTTAGCACTAACAAAGCGATACCTAGCACTAACATTCGTCCGCTCTGGCAGTGTCGGCTATGTTGTGGGTTTGGGTGGTTAATATGGATTTTAGTCCTAAAAGAACTGTTTTAAGGCCTGCACTTAGTGATGGCCTTTGTGCCCTCACTGAAAGCGTGCTTGGTAAGCTGACGGACAGCAGGCTGGACCTCTCTGGTGATGGTAGAACTCTTGTTGTATTGGACAAGGCGGGAAGCTTCGGCAATACGTTCAAAGATGTCATTTCTCTGGTCCTGAGAAAATGTGCAGTAGTTATTGCCTTTGGTCAAGTTCTTTTTCTTTTTCGCTAGAATCCACGATTTTCATCCATAGAGAGTTAAAAGAAAATTCAGCAGTAACCTCTGGTTGCGCTCTGTTCCGTTAACTACACTGGTTTTAAAATCAACTGAGGAACCGGGGATGCGTTGCTGTTGCATATATTTCCATCGAAGATATTATGTAAGTCCTGGTGTGAATTTCCTATAAATATACCGCCTTGCCGCTCATTTTGCTGACTACATTATTCAGGGATTCCATTTACTCAAAGGGCCTATAGTTACTGCCGTGATTAAAACTTAAAACAGTTTAACAGATAATCATGATAATTTATTCGGTGAATATCTACATGTATACAATAAAATAAACATTAATCAACTGAGCTCGTATTTGAAATTTACAACGCCACGTGACACTCTCTCCACCCCTCCATTAGCAACGGTGGGCGGGGCCAAACGGGGAAGATTCATTGTGCTTCGCAACTGGGGAAAAAAAAAGAAGAAATCGCAGCATTTAAACTTTTTCAACCGGTTATATTTATTAAGAATATGCAGAATGATAGATTGATATATAAATGAGAAAAATAAAAGAAAAACTGAAATTAGGTGACATAGTGGTTTATTCATGGTATGCGTACATGTACGTCATCAACCAAGTTAAACATCAATTTGTCTGATAGAGTCACGCGCTCTACTGTATTTAAAGTTCTAAGTCCAAGTGTCTTTCCAATCAGTAATTAATCTTCGTGACCAGAATATTAAGATACAAACAGTTCGCATATAAGTCATACATCTTTTTGTGAGTTCTGAAGTTCTGAATCTATGTAACATGGTGATACTTTGTTACTATAAGTAACTGGCTCGCGCTGCCAGTAATTACGCCGCGGGATATTCAGGGCACAGACCGTGATCATAAGATACCGCGAATAGATAATAGATTTTTAGAAAATAGACTTTCCATGTGAACGAAGCCTTAGACTATAACTATTATAACCAGCATTAATCAATTTTTAAATTTGTAAATTAATCTTTAAATTAAAATTGTTTTATTCACTTTAGATTTTATTATTTAAATAATTACTTGTTATTCTGGTAATTTAATAGTGCAGTTTTAAGAAATAATAATAATAATAATAATAATAATAATAATAACAATAATAATAATTATTATTATTATTATTATTCTTAAATGAAACGATTCCCAACACCTATATTCATATTTACTACTTATTTAGATTTACCGACAGTCGATCACTATTTCGCCTAATCACACGCCCCATAGTTACTTCTGCTACTTTCGCTCATTTGAATAGGGGTTTCGTCTGTGTCGTTTTCAGCTTCATCGTTCCGTCTACAGACGCCGCATGGAATTTTACGAAAAGGCTTCGTGATGCACTCGTAGAAAGGCTTCAACATACATTTCAATTCCTCGCGGTACGGCCGGACACTAATACAGTAGAGAAAAAAATTTGATGCATGATTCAAGTAGAAAAGAAGAATGAAAACAGAAAACACGTAAGAATTCTTAATTAGATCTGCCTCACTCTCAGCGCCGTAAACGTCAATGACCCCAACCTGGATAAAATTAAATCCCGTTGTCAAAATACAATACGATGCCGTGACCAGGATCAACATTATGGTGACTTCTTTTTCCGCTTTTTTCCTTTCCTCTTCGCCTTCTGATTCACCATCATCACTAGACCCGGAGAAATGGCTGGGCAAGCTGTTCTCTTGTTCAGTTCCTCGCGATCGTTTCCTTGCTAAGTATATTTCGTACACTAACCAACCGTTGATAACGGGAAGACAGCAGACCGGTAAGGCCCAGTATATCACAAAAGCTACCCACTTGTAAACATCGTAGAACTCCAACATCACTGGAATGTGTCAAATGAGATCAAGGTCATAAAAATGGAAACATTTGAGTCACATCAGTGACGCACTCATTTCGTGGAATATTTGTATAATTTTGACTGGTCCCGTTAGCTTCGCAGTTATACGCTTTAGAAAGCCGATATGGAATAGAATCAACAGGTGCATCAAACATTTATACAAATATTACATATAATATGTCGTCACTTTAATGTTCAATTGACTCTCTTTTGTTCATGAACGCTAATTGCAATTCACTTCTTACTTGTTGAGGAAATATATAAATGTAGACTCCAGCCCGCCATACTCCTTCGCAAGACAATAGACAACATTAGATTTTTATAATAAGCCGTAAGCATTAGATTTTTAGTAATTCGTCAGCATTAGATTTTTAATTAATCCAGACTGCGATGTGGGGGCCTTTGAACATAACATGGTGCAACTTTTAACTGAAACTTTTAAAGATTTATTCATTTTAAATATTTCTCTGTCCAATATCTTACCTTGAATTTACAGTATTTTAGAATGATCTTATCGCGCGTCTTAGAATGGGGTAATAAATAAATAAGTTTACCAACACGCACTTGAATCTAAACACTTACCGGTTTGATGCGTTTCTTCGTAGAGTTCCAGTATTTCCCTGCTATCGTGGTATATATTCCAACAAACCTTCTTACAGCATTCATCAAAGAATATGTGGGTGTAAAAGATGTTAATGTTCAAGAATACCATGACCAGGACAATAATCACGATATACAAACGCGTCTTCTTAATTGAAAACCACCTGTCATGGGCCGCAGGGTCGATAATTCTCATAAGTCTCTCGATGCTCATGACAATCAAAGTAATCGCGCTAATTTCAGGTCCGCAATACACCGTGAATACAGTAATTCTACATATCACTTCACTGTCCATCATCACAGGGGTTAAGAGCTCGTATTCAATCCAGTAAAAAACACCATTTATCAATATCAGTATGTCCGCCACCGCTACGGCGATCAAAAACTGACAGGTCACTACACGGCGAAGTTCTTTTCGGGCAAAAACACATATTGTAAGTGTATTGCAAATCAACCCAATGCAATAGATAAGCGGCCGGCCAACGTAACGGATATAGTCCGATATTTGAGCGTCGAGTTCGTAATCAGTTCCGTTAACGTTGAAATAATCCGAATAATTAGTGCGAATCCTTGCAGTTGTGACCGATTCGTTTGCTCTTATTTGCGTACACTTCACATAATCAGAAAGATTGCAGTTACCCCCTTCAGGCTCTGGTAATGACCCATAAAAGCTCGTCTGGACATTTTCCCAGTAACCATCGAAAACCCACTCAGCATATCCTTGACAAAAGAACAGGAGCAGTAGCGTCGAAATGCCAAATTGTTTTGCCATCGAAATGCGGCGCTTCATCATCTCGGAAGACTTAATGTTAAAGGACGCTAATAAACGGTCATCTGCACACGTTACTGTTTAAGTGATATCAATTAGTCAAGCAGAACATTAACTAACTTGTCTCCTGAAACCACCCTGGGGTTCAAGGGACATAGCAAACTCATCTCTCTACTACATTTCAACAGACAGTTGCCGTTTCCAAAAGTGGCGCCCTCACGGTGGACTGTAAAGGGTGGGTAAGGATGGGGTAGGATAATATAGGATGGGATAGGATAATAAAGGATAGGGTAGGATAATATAGGATGGGGTAGGATAACATAGGATGGGGTAGGATAGGATGAGGTAGAATAGGATAAGATAGGATGGTATAGGATAGTATGATATAGGGTAGAATAGGATAAGATAGGGTAAGGTGGGCTAATATAGGATAGGCTAGGATGGGATAAGGTAGGATAAGATAAGATAGGGTAAGGTGGGATAATATAGGGTAGGTTAAGATGGGATAAGGTACGATAGGATAAGATAGGGTAAGGTGGGCTAATATAGGATAGGCTAGGATGGGATAAGGTAGGATAGGATAAGATAGGGTAAGGTGGGATAATATAGGATAGGCTAGGATGGGATAAATTAGGATAGGATAAGAGATGGTAGGATAGGATGGGATATGATAGGAAAGGATAATAGTACGGGAAAGGATATGAACTTGCAGTTTCTCGTTTCATGCTGAAGGTAGAGAGGCCAGTTTTCAGTGCCCTTAGAAACTCAGGGTGCCAAAACCTACTTCAGTATAAACAGGCCAAGGGTATTTGCCGGTTCCAAAGTCTGTACAAATGTACATAATATACACACACTGTTTTAAAAACTGATTAAAATGCCCTTTTATCTTTGAAGCACAAAATCTACTGATATGAGTATCTCTTTCGTCGCTCAGTGATAATCAACAATGGCGAATAGAATTATTAGTGATAATCCTTTGGAGATCAGCCATTCTCTGTGACACATTTACATTCGTTGTTTTCATATTATAAAATCAGTTTTAAACTTAACCCAATACAAGTTTATTTTT